CCCTTGGTGAACATTTCCTGCGCTCGTGGAGCAGCTGAAAAGGACCACTGGTATGTCTGGTTCCTGGTTTGAAAGTGGAGAGTCGACTTTTGTGCCTTGAAAAAGGAGTAGAGAGCGATAAAGGTACGTCTGTGGCTGATTTTTGAGTGCTCCTCGTACATTTTTGATCGTGATAGAAATTCTCAGACCAAAGTCAGCACGATGATGGCCGTACAGTTTTCTTGTGGATTTTTTAGTTGTTTCATCTCGTATCTATGTCAGTATCGTGATGGTGAAGTGGAGAGGGTGATTTTCTTCCTCTAGGCTTCGTTCGGCCGACTTTGGTTCGTCCTCGTTGAAAAGTGATCCTGAAAAAAAGGTCGATTCGCAAAAATTATGTTGATTTTGAATGTACGTGATGACATGCGATTGCTGGCTATGATTATTTTTGCTTTGTTTTGGTCCGGTGTTATTCATTCTATTCAGTCGTCCCGAGCAAAGCTAATTCACACTGAGAACTGATGGTGAGACGCGTTGTTACTAACAGGTGGACTTCACTGCAGGGCATAGCTTAAGGATTTCATTTAGCCCGGACAAATGTCCTTCCGTTTTGAAATCTGTCCGGACATGCCCGGACATTTTCCACAACACATTTTCAGGGTGTTTCTTCTTTTTTTTCGTAGTAGTACTGAAGTATATTCACAATGACTCATTATGTGGACGTATCTGAATTGACTGTAGCAACAACGCGTTGCTACAGGCGGATCAAGTAAATAATATAGTGAAGTCTACACCTGAGACGACGGTATACGTGTTAGTTGTACGACATGCAAGTGGCATTTGGCACGAAGCTCCGAAGAAAGCCCAACTCTGCATAAAAAGGTCGAAAGGTCCCTGCTCTTTTTTTTACTTTTTTGACCGGACACTATGTTCGGTGAAATTGAAAACGTCCAGTCAGTGGCCGAAAATGGCCGGAAAATGTCCGATGTCCGGCCGTTAATCTATGCCCTGCACTGTAGACTGGCTTTGCAGATTGGAATAGCATAAGTTTTACTACTTCCCCTCTTTCATGTGCTCTGGAGAAGCTCACGACAAGAGTTTGAAGTGACTTGGGCAAGTTTTCAAGTGCTCAAACACCACAATTTGCATTGCTGCAAGGTTCGACGTGATGCTAGTCTGTCAACATCAAACTTCTGTTGCTAGTAATAAGCAATCTGCGAGCGAAGTTTCAACTTGAGGGATTGACAGTTTGAAATACACCAAAATAGCAGGGGCGTAGCACCCGCTACGACTACAACCATGGCCGTACCACTTTTCGAAAAGTGTGGTCCGGAACGTGCAAAACCGTAATACCAAAAATCAGGATCCATCGATGCATATGCGCATCAGACTGACCTTTTTCTAGACTCGTCTACGTAGATCTACTCGTAGATCTGTTATGCATCTGCAGTCGTAGATCTACTGAGTAGATCTACTGTACTCGACTGCACACGTACACTGCGCCAGAAGTGTGCCAGAAGTTCCCAGAACGCAGGATTTTGTGTCTTTTTTACAAAATTTTCCCGCGGGAGGTCCGGGTCCCCCGGACCTTTGAATTCGGATAGCTCAACAGTACAGAAGTACAACTACAACGAGTACCGAATAGAAGGCCCCGAGAACGGGAAACCAAAAAAACAAAACAAAAAACAAAAAAAACCTCCCTCCAACACGGCCTTCGGCCGCACCAACCTTCGGCCGTACCACTTCCAAAACCCCTCCTACGCCCCTGAATAGAAAATAGATCTTTGGAACTTACCGGAGCCAACACTTGGCAGTGGTTTTGTCAGCCAGAGTACAACCGGTGCTTGGAAAGTCGCTTATACAATAGTAGCTTTGCAGTACATTTGACCCCGCCGCTTGGTAGTGCAACAACTTACTAAGTAAGGTAGCTGATAATGGCAGCGTGCTTGCCGTCGGAATCTAGAAGTCCGTCACTCGCGTAGGGGCTACAGCAAGGCAGTCACTCAGTCACTCAGCCAGGCCATCCAGAGCACGAGTCAAAGGTAGTTAGGCAAAAACGGAGGACGGTGGATTCACCTGTGACAGAAACGAAGGAGAAAGCAAACATTGAGAATTCGTGTTCCGCTCCGGTACATCCACACACAGAACACTACACTTGGGAGAAACTACCTTGCAAGACGGCCACCATTCACAGTCCAGCAGATACAGTTTCGCAAGACGGAGTTATTTGGACTGTCGAACAGACTCACCAATGGCCACCCACAAAGTAAAAAGTCAAATACTTCAGTCAACACTAACGCACTGCACTTACCACGAAATGTACACGCCATCTTCACAGAACTCTCAAGTCACCTCACAACAACAGAGGAAGCCGAGCGACTGAGCCGCTGAATTGTGAAACCAGCTGCGAACTGACGGCCCTGCAATGTCGAAACAGTAGAATAGTCTGTACGAGTTCCTCCTCGAGCGTCGCTTCCTGTCTACCTCGAATGGATGCACATCACTGGTGTCGAAGAGAAAGCAGGTACCGTAGGCGATAACACGGCCAGTAGACTGGTTCCCTTTCTGCCATTCCGTCTCCCTTTCTTCAACCACCGAGCGTTACTGCCGTTAGTCGAAGTGTGAATACAAACTTCACCCGCGCTGCGCCACTTCACTAGGTCGGAGACGTAGTGCTAAACTTTGCAGTTGTGTAGACTGCGAACGAGCTGCGTTGTACAGTCAGTGTAATAATACCTGGTTCACACTTACTTGGCCGATTTTCCGGCCGATGCTTCAACACCGATTCCGACAAGAAATCCACCGACCGTGTCGGATGAGCTGTTGCGTAGCCGAGGTTGCACTGACCGGTTGGCGGCGGCTAGCCGGGGTCAACGACATGAACGGCTTCGGTATCAGACTGCCACCATAACACCTAAAACTAGTGCGACGAGAAAATCGCCTCAGATCTGTCGGAAACCATGTCGGCCGGAAAATCGGCCTACAAAATGTGAAACAGGCATAAGACATGTAGGCTGTAGCTACATTGCTAGCTGTCTCTACTTTGTAGCGTCTGTTCACATGGTTCACACACGTAGACTCTACACGTAGACTCTACACGTAGGTCTACACGTGGGGCACAGCAGCTAGCTGTACTAGCTGTACTGTAGTATAGTAGACGTCGTTACAGACACTACGCGTCCCAGCTCCAGTGTACACGTAGATGTAACTAGTAGATCTACGGGGGAAATAGATTTTTTTTAACTAAAACTTTCTACACGAGCTACATGTATACAGCCAATACTAACCCTTTCCCAAAGATGCCATAGTTTTTCGCACCGTATGCTTTTCGCAACCGTGCCAAAACAAGTGCTAGTTGCTGAAATCGCATCCATATTTTCAGAAAAAGCTCAAAAGTTGCCAATGTCGCAACTCAAAATTGGAGAGTTCTTGTGCAAAACCTACAAAACAGGGAGCAGAAATGCAGCGACGCTACGACAGCAAACTCGTACACCCCTTCCTGCTGTGGCACCACTTTACACATTGCCAGTAGCCTGTTGCATGTGTCCTACATGTTGTACATGTACATCATTACAGTGCACGGAAAAGGGAATGCACATATTTATCGTAACTACCGTTGATCTACTGTTTCTCAGAAATGAGCCTGAAGGCAAGCGAGAAATGAGCCAGCAAGAGTATGCATTTGTCCAACAATGCAATATGTAGTGCCATGGGGCCAATTGCGCCAAGGTTGCGGAGAAGTTGCGAAATAGCTCCGGAAAATGAAGAAAGTTGCGATTTCTTCCTAAACAACGAAAAGTTCCGAAAAAAGTGGCGAGCATCTTTGGGAAAGGGCTAGCCAGTACAGGGCCAATAAAATACATGTACAAAGGTAGCCCTTGGCGGACTATGCTGGTGTTAGGTACATAATTTCCGCCATAATCTTCGGATTTTGTCAGAAATTGTCTCTGTGAAGACATCACCAGACAAGGGAAAATAGTGAAGGACATGTACATGCGGATCAAAGCCAAAGAAGAAACTGCGGTATGCCACCCTCAGATTTACCTTTGAAAATTCAGTTATCATGTTCAACTGTCTTCAGAATCGTCATACTCGTCCAACTGATGTCACCCTCGCCCTCTCCCGTAGCTCCACCTCTCCTTCCAGCATGACCAAACATCAACTGAATTGTTTTAAATTATTAGAGCAATATCCATAGCCTTTGCAGTCATGGCTGCTAAAATCCAGAGCCAGCTCATGACTTCGTAGCCTGCATTATTACATGTACGCGGACTACCCATCACTATTTCGTCCGCCCCAGGATACATCAAACTAATTCGGCAATGAAATGGATGATGGTGCTGCGGATGATGGTGATGGTGAGTTGGATGGAGATGATGATCGTCAGAAGTCTGCTGTGTTTTGCATTTGTTATCTCACCCTAACCTTAGGGCTACTGGCGTTTGGAAGTGTACAATGATTTTCTGCTTTTCTGTGTTTTGTCGTGCACGTTATCCCCGTCAGTTGAAGGTTCTTGAAGCTGTGTGTATTCGTTTGCGTAAGCCTGTGCTCTGTTAACAAAAGAAGCATGTTGCTGCGCTTAAATAATTGTTTTGTTTTAAAGTCCTTCCCCGTAGCCAAAAGCAGGGGATTGTGATAATTATTGTTCTCATGCCTGGATTTCGAGATTGTTTGAACCGGAACGTGTTTGATCTATGACCGTGGTATACGGGCCTAGCCGTGAGAGACGCCTGTGGACTTTCCAGATTGCCTGTTGAGCACGAATCTCTTCCGTTCCAGTAGGATGTGGAACTGATGTACCATGATGTACCGGTAGCTGGTGGCTAGTAGTCAGGTAAAAGTACATGACAGCAAGCACAAACAAAGCCATTACGCAAATCCGAAACGATGATATTCAAGGAGTAAATGTTTGTTTAGAAAATGAAATCATGGAGAGCCATGATGGAGACGGCACGTAAGCGAAGTGAATATCAAACAGTTGAAGAGGATCCACAGTTTCTCCTTGTGCCGCCTGCCAGGCTCTAGCGATACTGTCCGCGCCAAAGCCTCGCAAATCCCTGCGATGCAGGATCAATTATTTGATCCTCCGAGCAGGGCAGAGTCATTGACTGTTCACTGAGGCTGCTGCTGTTGTCGCTGCTGTCGCTGCTGTCGCTTCTGTCGCTGCTGCCGCTGCCGCTGTCGTTGTCGTTGTTGTTGTTGTTGTTCCTGCTGCTGCTGCTGCTGCTACTGTTCTTGCTCCCACTGCTGTTGTTGCTGTTGCTACTACTGTTCTTGCTCCCACTGCTGTTGTTGCTGTTACTGCTACTGTTCTTGCTCACACTGCTGTTGTTGCTGTTGCTACTACTGTTCTTGCTCCCACTGCTGTTGCTGCTGCTGCTGCTACTGTTCTTGCTCCCACTGCTGCTGCTGCTGCTACTGTTCCTGCTCCCACTGCTGCTGCTGCTGCTACTGTTCTTGCTCCCACTGCTGTTGTTGCTACTGTTCTTGCTTGCACTGCTGTTGTTGCTACTGTTCTTGCTCCCACTGCTGTTGTTGCTGTTGCTATTGTCGTATCTGATCGGCCGGGCCTGTAGCCGGGTAGACATGAACTAACTTACGAAACCAGTAATCCATGCAATGGTGAACATTTTGAGAGAGTCCACAGACAAAATTACCCTTACTCACGCACGCACACATATCTAGACATACTTTCACAGCCTCACTCAGACATAGACACATCACATACACTCACGCCAGTGTCCAGGTTTACCCATGTCTTCCAAGAAGATACCTTACTCCAAGTCTGACCAAGACACGATAAGAGAGACTAAACAACCAAGAGAGAGAGAGAAAGCTGCCGCCTCAAATTCCTGGGGCTGTACATATAATCACACCCTAAGACACAGAGAGAGAGTACATCTGGCAAGTTCGCTCTTGATTGCTGGGCATACCAGCCCAAACTGAAAAAGCCACAAACGCCAACTAGTAGTAGTTGATGCGTATCACTACTATGTCGCAGTACCAGGATAGCACTACTCTCCTTATCATGCCACAAAGGTCAGTGTCTATCTACCGTGCAATACCTTGCAATAAATGCATAAGAGCCAACGTTACCAAGTAAGATTTAATCAGCTGAGGCCAGAAAGGAAGATATTAAATAATACAAAGTCCGTTTGTGGAAGATAACTGAATGAAAGACAACACAAGTAAGTTACTGCAATCTAGCCACGTGGAGACACAACACCCACGTGCCCATAGTAGGGAACGGCACATCATTGATATTGAGCACCCTGGATAGCCTTATGGCTCCTCTGCCGCAGCCGCTGGTATTCCTCAGTTGTTGAAACCTGCTTTAACACAATAAAACAACACACAGTCACACGTTGTTGATGTTTTGTGTTTTTAAGTAGACAGACATTGTCCTATAAACAGTCAAACATCTGCTAGTAGAAGGGAGTCGAACTCATGATCTAGTCATATCCGCAAGAGTAGATAAACAAGAGTGTGCAACTAGCGCATGAGTTCGACCCATGAGTCGAACTCATGATCTAGTCATATCTAAAATTATGACTCAGGCTTCTGCACCTGGTACCCTCTGTTTCTCAATCATGGTCTTAGACCATCCCACTATGCCTGCCTGCAGATGCCTTCAGACCTGCAGACCCTTAAAAGGCTGAAGATAGCCACAAGAAAACGTTCAACCCTCGCTACATTACCTTGTGTGTGTGTGTGTGTGTGTGTGTGCGTGCGTGCGTACTTGCGTGCATGCGCGCGTGTGTGTGTGTGTGTGTGTGTGTGTGTGTGTGTGTGGACATGACGGCACAGTTAATTATTTCTATAGCGCTATTAAGTATACGAAAAATCAGTCTTACTTGCAGCCCCCGTCGGTGCTCCGGTTGGCCATCCTGGCTCACCTACTGCTACATAGTGGTAGTAGAATTGCGTTCAATACAAGGAAAGAAGGAAGAACACCAAACATACAAGAGATGAAACTCGGCGATGCAATCAAAATCAAAAATTGAAATAGTGTTATCCAAAGAAACTCTATGTGGACATATCAAGGTTGTGAAAAGAATCAACTCAAACCCTAGACGAATACTTTGAAAAGTGTGAAGTGCACATGAATGGTTCACGCTGAGACTTTGGCACGCCAAGAAAAACAATATAATTATTGATAGAAGTAAAAAGGAAACAATACCGGCGAAAACGGTATTGTTTACTTTTTACTTCTAAGACATGATGGACGATAGAGGCCAGCTAGCTGTCTGCAAGGAAAGAAAAATTCTCTTAGCGAATATAGTACAAATACAGTCAACTTTGCGAATAACGACATTCGGCGGGCATCAGAAAAGTGTCCTTATTCGCGAAGTGTCCTTATATCCGAAGTCCCATTTGAATGTATGTGAACCCATATTTGGTATAGTATGACATGCATATCGAAATGAAGCTCTTTTCATGCTCTACGTCAAATTGTACTTTATTTTTATATTGCAATTGAAAGGAACTATAAAGTCAATATCCAAGGGAAATAAATAGAAAAAATAGCCTTTTTGAGCCATCTACAGGGACATAATATTATAGTATTACGTACATTGTCATGTACATGTATGATGATTAATGTACAATTACATGTACATGTAGTTGTGTACAGTCATGTAGTTGTGCTGATCACTCCAACTATTTTTGAAGCGAAATAAAAAAGAAAGAAAGAACCCCCCCCCCCCCTTGGCTGTATTCTTCTTGTATGTGTGCCTTATCCATCGCCACGGGCTCTGGTACTTCTGCATGACAGGTACTTGAAATAGCTGTCAAAAACCCAGCAAGTCGTTATTCAAGCAGTGAATATGACCTCGGGGCACTAAAAGCATGTCGCTATTCGCGAATTGTCGTTATTCAGATAGTCGTTATATCCGAAGTTTAATGTATACAGTTAGATGGGACTTTGCTCTGGGCATGGAAATTCTGTCGTTATTCACGAATTGTCGTTATATCCCAAGTCGTCATGAGCGAAGTTGACTGTACAAGCTACATTTGCAACAGTTACAATTTAAACTTCTCGATTTTTACATCTGCTTGAAGACATTCAAGTGTGTACTGGAACCTGATGCCACCGGAACACAAAGCGTCTTCCATCACCAACAAAGACAAGAGCAAATGATTTTTACGATTAGTTGAAACCGTAGTAGTTATGTTAAAGATTATGAATATAATTTCAAATTTGGACTTCACGGAGAATTTCAAAGTATTAGGAAATTAGAGGCTACATGCCACGTGCTGCTCTGTCCCGGTGGTGTGACTGATGATTTTCTCTTTCTTTCATATCTGGCTTGCAAGTGTTGAGTTTCGGAGAGAAAAGAGCAGTACGTGGCATGTGGCCTCTAATTTCGTAATATTATTAATGTACGAAATAGAGGTTGCGACTTCGGCGATGATTTTGTTTAGGAATGGGTTTGCTCCCACACTATTCCACGAGAAGTCAATTGTCAGGTCAACTCGGCGGAATAGCGCGAGCTCCAGTGTGGGAGCAAGCCCATTCCTAATTATTGATGTACTTCAAAGTGAACTTAGAAGTTGCAACTTCGGCGGTATTAGTCATGAAGTTGATTGTTCCAACTAGGAACACACGCTTCTTGCCGAACTTGACACTTGACTGACTCACGACTGCCATCCGGAGCACGTCGCACCTTCCACTCGGCAAACCTGCAAGAAAGCACCACTCCCTGCTCAATACACGGTGTTTCGGGGAATTCACCCCTCATCAGTTGAGCTTGAGTAGGCTGAGGAAGATTGTGCCTGAAAAGCACCACTTGCACAATCTTCCTCAGCCTACTCAAGCTCAACTGATGAGGCGTGAATTCCCCGAAACACCGTGTATTGAGCAGGGAGTGGTGCTTTCTTGCAGGTTTGCCGAGTGGAAGGTGCGACGTGCTCCTGGTGTGCTCCGGATGGCAGTCGTGAGTCAGTCAAGTGTCAAGTTCGGCAAGAAGCGTGTGTTCCTAGTTGGAACAATCAACTTCAGTACTTCAAAGTATTGCTTTAAATCCTAGTGCTCACAGGGTTTCCAACTTCATTACGCGGGCCCTGCATGTTTGTTGACTTCCGGACTCTAGACAAAAGATTTAGGCAATGATTATAATTATTATTAGAATAGTTTCGTAATACGTATTCGCATGCAACGACGCAAATCCACACAATTCAGTAGACACTTTTTCTATCAAACGTTTTCTTTCCCTTCTCTTCAGGATAGTACAGGGAATGTTGGAAATTAGAAAAAAACATAACTATATAGGGAATGAAAGAAAGAAAAAGTCAACACTTCAACATAGGTGTTAAAAATGATTAAAGTGTTAAAAACTCAAAAACAAACAGCTGCAAGTTGTAGACAAACACGTTGAACACATCAGGGGACACTTGTCACACTTTCACGAGGTGTGACACCAAACAACTGCAACGATAACACATTCTCCTTCTGTACACATAGTTCTGGATCTAGTTTACGAATATACAGAGCTTCTAACACAGCAAGATGTAACTTAGACCTTCCACGAGTCAAAATCGAAAAGATATCATCACTATACAACTTACGACAACTAGCACTGCCCGACAAATGACGCTTGATGGACGATGTCCGATCACTTAGCTCTGTCACCTTCGACGCCTGCCGTTGTTCGCTTCCGTTAGGCTTGTTTGGTTGGTTCCGGTCCACACCTCCAACGTCCGTTGATTTCATGTCCGTTTTTGTTGATTTCATGGCCGTTTTCGTGTCACTTCTTGGTCTTCCTCGTTTCCTCTTGTTGATCGTTGTTGTCACTTCCATTATCGACGTATTCAGATCCCCAGTACTCCGTCTCTTCACCTTGCTTCTGGTAACTCTTCCGGTGTCTATGAGCTCCAGTGTCACATTGGGTGGTTTTCGAGACGGTCTCCCTCGCTTCCTCACGCTTGTCTGAGATGGGCCAAGCTCCCCGCCCGTCGAGGCGGAGGCGCGCATGCGTACATCTACACTGGACGCAGACAAAGGCGTTCCAGTATCGGACTGCACAGCACATTTTGGAGGATGGCCACGACGAGGACGAGTACCACGAGCGTCAACAGGGACAAAACTTAACGGCACATGTTGACGGATGCGTGCGCCCAGGTGTTGAAGGGTTCTACCTACGTACCGATCTTCACATTCTCGGCACTGAAAAAAATAGATAAGGTTGCTTCTACTAAGGGTAGGTAGAACGTCCTTCTTCACACTGAACGCACGCGTCGTTCCAAATACTAAATACAATTTCACGCACGGGTAAGACAAACAGACAATGTTGCGCACCTCCTTCTCGACGCGCGCAGAACCAGCACCCACCCAGGGTAAGCGTAGTACCACGGGGCACCTGTCTGGTCCAAATGGTTTCGGATCCTGCGTGATTGGTTTGTTATTAATAAGTTTTGTTAGTAGTGACGAGGGGTATCCATTGTTTGTCAAACTTGATGTGAGCCGCCTCAGTTCTTCTTGAAGAAGGTGAGGAGAGCAGATTCGATGGGCACGATAGACTAGTGCTTTGACAAGGTGAACTTTGGATTTAGTTGGTGTGTAGCTTCCCCATGGAATATACAAGCCAGTAAAGGTGGGTTTTCTGTAAACCGTCATGTCTAAACTCTTGGTGTCGTTGTTGCGGGTAATATTGGCATCTAAGAAGGATATCACACCGTCCCGTTCACGTGTTTCTCTACAACTTGCAGCTGTTTGTTTTTGAGTTTTTAACACTTTAATCATTTTTAACACCTATGTTGAAGTGTTGACTTTTTCTTTCTTTCATTCCCTATATAGTTATGTTTTTTTCTAATTTCCAACATTCCCTGTACTATCCTGAAGAGAAGGGAAAGAAAACGTTTGATAGAAAAAGTGTCTACTGAATTGTGTGGATTTGCGTCGTTGCATGCGAATACGTATTACGAAACTGTTTTTCCCACCGCCTCCAAACTACTGTTTGAATTAGAATAGTTCATAATATATTCAGTGATTAGCCCTCTTGTTCAATGATTATAGCAATAAACAGGATTTAATGTGCACTCATAATAATATTAAAATAAAACAATAGTGCACATTTCATCCTATTTATTGCAATTTTGCGACTATTGTCTCCTCGTCGGCTATTTCAATGATTATAGCTTGGCATTTGGAGTCTTGGACTTGGACTTTCGTCACCTTCAAGTTCTTTGGACATGCCACTTTTCTATGTAGACAGTGCACAGTTGCGTCACTTTTACCCTATAAATATACTCATTCCTTTGTCTGGGAAATAAAAACTACAAACCTCAAGCTATTCTTCCACATTATCATCATCAATAAGTTGAGAAAGTGGTGGACATCACGCAACTGCATTGTAAATAAAAGGGTTTGTCAACTGATAACCGCTCTATTTAGTTGCTATTCGCTTTTGACGCATGCGCTGGATAAAAATTATTTTATCATCAATAAGGACTCCGAAGTTCATGAACCAGTTTTTGGGCATTCTCTTCAAATGAATTACAAGCCAGCAGAACCAATGAAACATAGGGATGAGTAGCATCACAAGGGTGGTAAACATTACAACTAGGTGATAAATTCAGGGAAGAATTTATGCACAGGGGGAGATAATAAAAAGGGAAAAGAGGGAAAGAGAATGTGAGGATTGAGACAAGAGGAACTAAAACACACACTGTGTAAATAAAAACACCAAATGGACGCTACACTAATTTTTTTACTGAATACCACAGAACCATCAGATGCTGCACAGCGGGGGCGGTGGCATATTGGATGGAAGCGGGGGCGGGGCAAACGTAACTCCTCCGACCAAAGGTCTCGGAATCATTGTTACTCCTGTGCGCCAATACATAGGAGAAAAGAAACATGTGCAGCCAAGAGGGAAGCACCGACTTTGCAAACAGTAATGGGGAGAATTTGAGATTGAGATAGGACAAAACAATAGTAAAAGCAGTGCACCGTAGGAAGTTGGAGAGAACTGATAATCGGATATTAAGGCTGAGTGAAGGGGATCAAAGAGGGGTAGAAGGGAACTGGAGTGCGGTCAGTATAATTGTAGTATCCCTGACTGTCAGTAATCACACAGCCACATCTCTACCAGTAGTTACATTGTAGTTCACAGGTACATTCTATCTAAGTGCTTCTCACGCGCAACCACTTAGGACTAGATTGCCCTGCTTGCAAGACAGGTACGGCATGACCTATTGCGTTCATGCTGTACTAATACATTACATTGATTCCTGTATAGTCCGTTCCCCATCACTGACCCTCTTGATCCCTTGCGAGATTCCTTCCCGGTTCTAGGCATCCAACAGCTTTCTTCCCCGAATCCATGTTATTGTTCAGCCCTAGCTCACACACATTCAAAGGTCTTTTCCTTAGATCTTTCAACAGTTGTCTTCCTAGTAATATTTTGCCCTCGCTCCCAGCTGCTCTCTCCCTCTGGCCTAAATAAACCCATCATTCTTTCTCATTGCTGTGTGGAATTATGAAGTGAAGAGTTTTAAGCCCAAGAGCTTTTTTTCCTCCCGCTAGTGCTGTCAGCCTGTATCACTTTCTGTTGTAAGTCCAAAGTGCCTCAGACACGAGCAGGCTGGCAGACACTACATAATTAGGCTGGTGTGTTGGCTGCGATGGAGAGATCATAGCCTGTCTGTGGCCCACTCCCACTTGCTGCGCCGCAAGTGGTCGTTGACATTTTTCTTGAAGGTGTGCATACTAGTAATCTGCGAGAAGGGGGAGACTGCAGAAGGGTAGGTGGGAGCTGATTCCACGTTGCGATGAGGGAGTGGGGAAATGAGCGGCGCGTGTTGTTTTGTGACTGAGAAGGAAGGATACTGGTGAGTTGTGATGGATGATGTGCTGCAGATCTGGTTGTCTCACGAGTAGACATGCGGCATTGCGGTGCGGCTGCTGATGGTGGCAGAATGGCTTTCACCATTTCCGGACCCTCCACAAAGTGCAGCTTGTACAGAAAGCAGAGCCCTGCTACGGTACGGCGAACGTCGAGACTTGGGAGGTGTGATCCATCTCCAATTATGTGCAGGGCACGGCGCTGGATGGCAGGGAGGCGGGCCAAGGTGGTGGGGGCTGCGCTCATCCACACCAGCATGCCATGCTCTAAGTTAGGCTTAGAGCCATCCGTCACCCCCGCCCGCCCCCCCCCCCCCGCCCCCCCCTCCCCAGCACCCCCCCCCCCCCCCCCCCGCCGCACCCCCAGCCCCAAAGTGATTACAACACTGTGCTCGTGATTCATTAGTCTTACTTGCAGCCACGATCGACCATCCTCGTTCTGCTGCTGTTGTTGCTGTTGTTGCTGTTTGATTTGCTGCTGTTCTTGCTGATGTTGCTGTTGTTCTTGCCGCTGTAGGGCCCCCAGTTCGATGAATATGCGGTGCTCCAGACATGTAACTGACTGTACAGTAAACAGAGAAAACTGTGTCTGCCATTCAATGTTGCCCGAGGCCGCTGGTCGGTTGGGCATGCAAGGCACCACCAGCACCGTATCACCCCATGCTAGCCCATTTGGATATCTGGTAAAACCAATGCCTCCCACAGAACACAAAAATCAACCACCCCCCACACGGACTGACAGTGAAGTTCACTGCCAGCCAAAATGACTGGGGGACTGTTTAGACTGTGGAGTACGTGATACAAGGACGGGGAGGCTCCCCTGGGTACTAGAACCATGCATGCGTACACTTTATAATTATTGTGTAAAAGTAAAGTACTTAGTTCACATGTTCTCATTGCCTAGTCTCAAGACAGCAACAGACAGCAGATAGCACACGTACCGTATCATCTCTAATATAAGCACAGTCTCCAATAATAGCACGTCTCCAATAATAGAACACCTTGGGGCGGCATTCAAAAAATAAAGTGCTCAGTCTCCATTATAAGCACACTGTGTAAATTCATTATCTGTATCGGCGAAAAAACCCTGAAATGTGTGTGTGACATATAAATTTGGCATGGCAACATGCCTCTGAAATGAGGTTGAAATAATAATGGAACAGTCTCCAATAAAGGAACGTCTCCATTAATCTGTTAATAGCACGGGGCGGAGGTACATTGAAAAAATAAAGGACCGTGCTTATATCAGAGATAATACGGTACTTTGCTACAGAACAATATGTAACACATCCACATACAAGTACCGTATTTTCCGGAGAATAGTGCACACTTTAGACGTACAGTTCCAGGCCCCAAATCGCAGGTGCACACTATGCCCCGAACATGAAAGTGCCTGCACTTCGACCCACAGCTATCTTTGACCACTTTGTGGCGGGTCTGATCTACTCACCTCCCACCGCTTTAGGAGCTGCATCTGCACCTTGACCCTAGACTCAGGCTAGAGGATGGTGGCGTTCCTGGGGATGCGGAAAACTCGGCTTCCAGCCGAGTCTCACGCACTATGACTGTGTGCATTTGTAGTGTCTGCTGCCAGCTACAGGGCTAACGCATGAGGGGTACGATACCCCTTTGGCAGCACATGCATTTTACGAACGTAATTTTATGATACGATTGGCACACCATAGTATGTACAGTCTTTATGATCGATGATGCTCTTAAATCTAGGCTGCACACTGAACTCCGGATGTACTGTCTTTGTGATCGATAGTGCTCTTAAGAGCATTATCGATCATAAAGACAGTACATCCAGAGTTCAAAGAATTGGTGGGGTATGCAATAGTCGGGTGGGCGTTATACTCCGCCAAATACGGTAATATAACTTCCAGGGTACAATTCCCTGACCCAGGTATGTGCCTGCCCAAGTCATTTGTTTTAGAAGGTCTTTTTTGGGCAAGATAGCTTAGCGCGAGCCACTAGCCCCCCCCCCCCCTCCCCCCACACACACACAACGGATCACAACACCGTCCTGGCGATTCTTTCGTCTTACTTCCTGATGGAGCCATTGTTCCTTTATCCGTTGTTCGCTCGGGCGTGGTTCTATCTGCTGTGGCTGTTGTTCTTGCTGTGGTTCGTGCTGCTGCTGCTGTTGTTCTAGCAGCTGACATTGGCACTGTGGTTCTCGCTGGTGACGTTGTTGTTCTCGCTGTTGCTCTCGCTGCTGGTACTGTTCGTCTTGGAGTTCCTGTCGCTGCTGGAGCTGTTGTTCTAGCAGCTGGCATTGGCACTTTTTGCCTCCCTGCTGACGCTGTAGTTCAAACAACTGATGATGCTGTTGTTCTCGCTGTTGCAGTCGCTGCTGGTACTGTTGGTCTCGCAGTTGCTGTCGCTGCTGGTAATGTTGTTCTAGCTCAAGGGATTGGCAGTGCCAATGCAAGCCGCACTGTTGTTCTTGCTGTTGGCGCTGTAGGTCTCGCAGCTCCTGTCGCTCCTGGCGCTGTTGTTCTAGCAGCTGGTATTGACACTTTTTTTCTCCCTGCTGACACTGTTGTTCTTGCCGTTGCTGTCGCTGCTGGCACTGTTGCTTTCGCAGTTGCCGTCGCTGCTGGTAATGTTCCTCTGCCTGCTGGCATTGGCACTGTTGTGCTCGCTGTTGTACTCGCTGCTGCTGCTGTTCTTGCTGCAGGCACTGTTGCTCTCGCTGAAGGTGCTCTTTGTCTTGCAGCAGGTGCTGTTGTTCTTGCTGCAGGTGCATTTGTTCTTGCAGCAGCTGCTGTTGTTGTTGCTGGAGGTGCTGCTGTTCTTGCTGCAGGTTCTTTCGTTCTTGCAGCAGTTGCTGTCGTTCTTGCAGCAGCTGCTGTTGTTGTTGTTGCAGGTGCTGTTTTTCTTGCTGCAGGTGCTGTTGTCCTTGCTGCTGGAGTTGTTGATCTTGCTGCTGCTGTCGTTGCCTTTGACGTCCCTGTTGTCTCTCCCGGAGGCGCTGAGGGATACTCTGCCACCACTGGTGTTGTTCAGGTGTTAAGATCTGTTTCAACACGATGAAAGGACATTCCTTCAAATGTTTTTGATGTTTTGTGTGGCACAGAAGGCAGTGGCCGACCTATCAACAGTCAAAGGCCTAGTGGGGAGTAGAATTGATGATCTAGTCATATTTTTGTGCCGCTTCCGTACTCAAACTGCTGTCATTTAGGCTGGAGGAAGTTGGTACATTTCCAGTAAACAATCTGAGGTTTTGTTTTTTTGGTATTTTCGGAAAGATCACGCACCCGCTTCATCCACCAATCGCGGACTTTGTTCTAGCACTCGAATACATCATTGTACTTAGAAGAGCAGCTAGAAGTACTCTCCCATCGAGTCTCCTACTGGGCATCGAAGCTAGCTACGGGCATCTATGTCTCCCTGGCAACCTGTGCAAGAGATTTAGTTGAAATATTACTACTCTTTTTGAGTGTGGAAACAATGGCGTTATGCCGCAGATCTCCGGCACTTCCCCAACAAAATATAATTATTGAGAGTTACAGAATTCCCAAGATCCAAATCTTGGAAATTCTGTAACTCCCATGCAGTGCCTTGTCCCCGACCAGTGACGGTGACCACACCTCACACAATGCTCGACGATTGCTCGTCTTGTTTCTTTCTAATGCTCCATAATTCTCTGATGCTCGGATATTGTCATAATGCCGAATATAATGCTGGCATTATCCGCTGGACCCTACGGCGATGAATGGATTGTACACCTTTCCAGGCTTAGCCTAGGCTTAGTGGATCCAAAAGTAGAAATCTGACGTAACCGTACTACTCCCTGGCCGTTTAGACGTTATTGCTTTCGAGCCTACTGACAAGTACTGTAGCCTAGCCTCATATGCCTGTACTAGGCTGTAGCCTGTAGGCCGTCGAAGACTGACGTCACCAGGTCACTGTTTCGTGACAACGCGTAGTGTACTTGGCAGTTTTGGGTGACAAACAAAAAACGTAGTTGCGTCACCTGTACCTGAACTTCAGTTCAACTACCGGCACTTGTCCTTTTTCCAGTGGCAGCACCATGTATGCGGTGAACACAGCTACATGTAGCTACAGCATCATTTTGACTGAGGAGCGCGAGTGAGAATATTATTATTAATTTTCAAATATACTGCTACATGTCGCCGAATTTGTAGTTTTCGCTGGGTGTCTCTGTTATTTCTATCTCAGCCATCTCTGATTTCTTTTTGTTCTAAGACCAGCCACCTCTGGGCTCGTTGCCTTGTCCAGCGGCAAGCGAAATCAGAAGTCCTATTTCTCAGGTGCTGGTGAACACTCCGCGGGAAAAACACTGCACGATGGCTTGAGCGCGAAGAAGAAGCTTCTTGAAGTAAAACAAAAAATTGAACTCGCGATTTTGCACGAGCGCGCCCCAGTCAAAGTGATGCCGTGACTGGAAACACGACAAGATAAGAGCAGGTGACCCAACTTTTGTTTGTCACACAATGGTAACCATGGTAACTACGTATACAAGTACGAGCTTCCGGGCCGGCAGCGTCTTGGCGTCGGCACTTCGACAGCAAATGTAGACGAAATTAATGTTTTGGTCGAAAGCAAGACGGTTGGGCAGCCTGCCTGTTCACCTCGTGATGTTAAAACAATACTATCGTAATGTATACAGCATCACGATCACGAATTAGACAGTGCTGCCTATCCGCACAACCTATTAATCACTGTATTCCTGATGTTGACGGGTACGTAGGTCGAGATCGTAGCGGTAAAATACTTTCTACCTAAAATGAGAAAAGATCAAGGAACTACAAGTTACGCTATACTGTCCACTAACACCACCAGTTACTAAACAATCAGCTCATGCCATAACATTGCACGACACTGACCGACGGTACTGACGTTCTACAACTAACTGGCTAGCAGCTGTAGCACATCTTCGATGCACAATCCAACAGTCTTCTAACTAACTAACTTGGAAGGTTCTAAGTTATAGAAATATCATAAGGAGGGGAAGGTGAGCGCAACCAAGATTTAAGGCTGTTGGAGTGCGCATCCAAGATGTACTAGAGCTGTTAGCCAGTTAGTTGAAGAACGTCAGTACTGTCGGTCGGTGTGGTGCAATGTTATCGCATGAGCTGATTGTTTGGTAACTGGTGGTGTTAGTGGACAGTATAGCGTAACTTGTAGTTCCTTGATCCTTTCTCTTTTGTATAAATTAATCCTTGGCTCTCCATCCGAGTCCATACCTAGAATGAGTTTGTGAACTCCAGGTCAGGGATCAAGTCTGGACCAATGTTGCTCAAACCCCTCTCTTCTACTTATGAAGCTGCGTGAATCGTCCGACAGCATTCTAAACCAATTGATCAAGAATAATTCTTACCACCATCTTGTCCTCTTCTCCTTCCATAGAACGTCGTCTCTTTCAATGAGGTAGTAGTAATTGTTTTAAAGTTAGTTGTGGCAGCACATCAGGAAACAGCAGACAGCAGATCAGGAAACACACTCCGTTTTATTATCTACTACTGCTAGCAGTATCAGTTCAACACTACACTGGTGCAGAAACTGCTGCTAGCGCATTCTTATACTACTGTGCGACTAATACACTGTCTCAGCACTAGCAGCGGATCTACTGTACTCTAGTCTGTAGTGGACATGAAAATCCTGTCGCACGTCTAGCCGCCCCACAGCGCTGGCCATGCATCCGTGGATAATCGGTACGCACATGCATTTATGCGCTGTTGTGCGCTGGTCGCATCGGATCAACATGACTGTGCACTGCTCGCAGCTCTCTGTACGCGCTGAGGGCGTCGGCCCCGGTCAATCGACTGGATTTCCATGTCCGCTATTTACATGACATTGTATAGATAAATCTTGTTATAGTTCACACAATGTGTCATATTGTTAGATTGACAGCATGAAACAAGGTGGATGACGCTGTGTTCGGAAACAGTGACCTTACTACAATCTTCCGCGGTTGGCAGAGCCCCAGTCCCTTCGGACCATTTGAACCATATGGGTGTTGAACCCGGTTCTGACCCTCACTATGATAGGGGAGAAAAGCAATTCAGTTGTAAGTAACTACATGACTAGCAGGACGACATCCAGGAGCGATCAAAGAATACACGATGGACGTAAGGAGAAGTCTAAAACTCCCCTAGCATAATGAGGGTCAAAACCGGGTTCAACACCCATATGGTTCAAATGGTCCGAAGAGACTGGGGCTCTGCCAACCGCGGAAGGTTTTAGTAAGGTCACTGTTTCCGAACACAGTGTCATCCACCTTGTTTCATGCTGTCAATCTAACAATAGTACAGTACAAGTGGTGCCAAGAGTTCATAACTCCCAAGAGTGTGCAACTCCTGATCAGTAACTGTATGGAAGCCCACTCGGCGGAATTCCTTCATTGCGTCATATTTGGTGCAGTGCGATGAGTCATGCCAATGAATTCTTCTAAAATTTGCAGTCAAACCGGGATGCTTCCTCACGGTAAACCGCCTCAAACTGCGATTCTGGTGTGAGTTCACAAGACGGCAACGTCTGCAGGGCCTTCCCTATCAAAATAATAAATTTTACTACTACTACGTCTAGTTCTCAACACGAACTTGAAAAAGCAAAACAAAGCGCTCGGTCCTAAAAGACAAGACTATTTTTTTCCATGCCAATGCCCGCAATGGCAACTCTTTGTCGCCTTCTGCTTTCGCCAGTGCAGTGCAGCCAGTCTCTTCACAAACAAATTTCCCTGAGCCCTCGGCTTATTTCGTGCTTCCCTCGAATAGAATTTCAAATGATTGAGGGAATTGAGAATACGTGGAAGGAACATTTCTCGGCTGAGTTTCACAGCTATCAGAATGTTTATCCTTGATAGGGTCCAGCGGATAATGCCGGCATTATATTCGGCATTATGAGACTATCCGAGCATCGGAGCATTATGGAGCATTAGAAAGGAACAAGACGAGCAATATGATTGTAAGGGTTGAGCGGCATAACGAGTTTCATAGTGGATAATCATTCGGGAAATCTCAGGTTTTTGGCAACAATCGGCTAAAGCCATGAGGTGCAAACACGTTAAGCACTAATGCTACATTTACCTGACTACATACATGTACATGTAATGCCATTGCTACATAAAGTCCTTATGTAGCAACGTAGTCAGGTCAGAAATGTACAGGTGATGTAGCATCCCCAACGTTGCAACTGAGGCTGTTTATACACAAAATCCGTAACGATGATTTACGGGAAGTTCTTTTTTTAGAAATCATGGAGAGCCATGGAGGTGACTAGACGTGTCTACGGGAAGTGAATATCAAACAGACGAAGAGGAGTTTCCTGTTATGCCATAGGCTCTGGCCATAGCATCTCTAGCGATGCTGAAGTAAATACTGATCCATTGATAAATTTGGACCTGGATGAAGGATCGGCTATAAACAGAAAAAGCTTGTTCCAAAGAACTGCCTTAGCTGAGTCCACCTCAGCAGGCTCGAAAAGAACTAGAGTTCCTCATGGACGCAGTACCAAGTCGATTTGACTGCTCAGGAGCGCTTGTCTTACTTTCCTGGTGAAGCACGTACAGTTGGTCGTGGACGATTGTAATGCAAGGCCTACAGTCAAGTGCCATCAGAAAAGAAGAGTATTGTGGCCAACCGTTTGTCTCCGCGCAACCTCCGGAGAAGAAGAAACTTTTACCTGAGGAGATTACACGATTAACAGACAGCCCAGATGCTAACCAATTCGAAACACATCGACCAATAACACGCAGCATAACTCCATCAACACGAATGAATTCCACCAATGGACATGGATCTGAAGCCGCAACGGACGTGACAACTATATTGATGGAGGATGAGGATCGGCAGACCACGGACGATGAAGGCACTGGCAGTGATGGAGAGCAGGACGGGGATATTGAGGTCAACAGTGGACAGATGCAAGGTGAGGGTGATGATACTGGAAAGAGATCCGCAATAAAGAAACACCTGTTGTCCAACAGTCAGTGCCATTCAGTTTATGATGACACTTGTTTCACAGTTTTGAGCCGTGCTCGTAGGTTTAGTGAACTTAAGGTGGCAGCCTACCCATAAATTTCATATGGCATTCAATTGACCATGCATATGTAGGTTGGTTCTCTTCATGTTATCGTGACCAATTTCATAGATGTTGGTTGCCTTGTTGCTTTCTCTCCCCTCTCCTCTCACCCAAGCCATTCTGCATAAGCGAAGCTGTGGACGCAGCATACTGCTGCTACACTTCAACGCGGGAATGCGTATAATAATAATAATAATTCAATTGACTGTAACTTTGGTGTCTCTAAATGGATTTGAGTGAATTTTTCATCACACACTCCTGCCACTATGCTGGCCCTCTGGACATGATTTAAAAGTTCTTGCGCCTCACTGACAGGCTTTCCAGGCCGGAAAAACTCAAAATTCCGGCATAGTGCCACGGTGTGCGAGCCAACCAGGAGCCAACAAAATGCATTTATAATTTGTTCACCTTTTCTTGCCCATTCTGTCCGTGCGCGGGACCCAAACCAAAAAAAGTCCAGAAGCAGCCATGGGTGGTGGGATAGGGCCCTTCAATGTGGCCCTGGAATCTGTCACAAGGGCACGAGTGGGCGTTCTCTCACAGACTCCCACAGACCGAAGTCAATTTTTTAAATTTTTTTAGGTTTAGGGTGTGCTACGAGATCGTACCTTTGATACAACATCCAGTGCTGGGACGTCCACAGCAAGCCATTTCCACAGCGCTGCGCACCAAATCCAGGATGCCCTCAAAAATCAGCAAAGACTACCACTCACGTTCCACTACTGCCTAGTACTGACTCCTACCTGACTTCTTGACACGACTCAAACTTGCCAAAGTCACTAAATCAACGTCAACTACAATAATCAAGCCTCATATCTGCAACGTCACGAGGATGCTGGCAAAAGTCCTGCAGCCCAATACGTGGCTAAAAAACGTGATTTTTTGGACTTGGAGCAAAATTCGGCACACTTTCACGTGTTTCCATGATACGACAAGTTGCGCATGGTCTGCTCACATTCAAATACAGTGCTGCCAACAAATGACAGCATGCAACAAAAGAATCTTTCCTTGCAAGGGCCATTTTTGGCCATAACTCTTGAAAGGCTGGTCAGATCCGAGACAACATTTTCAGAGATTTTGCAACTATTCATGCTCTTTCAACTGATGTAGCACTCGATATGAATTTACAAATTCGAATTTTCAGGGATTTTACGACCAGGCTGCCACCCTTTGCGTGCTGAGTACGAGTTAACTCGCGCTTTATGCATGACCTGATCCACTACAATGTACGTACGAGTTAAAGGGGAAGTGCATCGATTTTTCGAGTAGGGTCCAGGAGAAAGACAATTTGATATCGGTTCGAATGGCATATCTCTCGCTTCCATACGAAAAGCCAAACTTGCCAAATCGCCAATTGTATGCTCACGTTGCCATAGCGACCAGCGCAGTGATGACGTATGAAAGGCTTAGCTCCTCCACAGAGAAGGTCGATCACTGCAGAAATTAGTCATTTTCAATTGTCTTATTGTATTCACGATGTGAAAAAAGTGCTGTGTTCAATGCTGTTAGTGCCGTGAACTATTTATCGCCCTTCTCATGCATTTCCCTAGGCTGCCTGGGCCTTGGAAATGGTTTCCTCCAGGACAAGATGTTTGGAATTCGCCATCTCTCCTGAGACATTTTCAGCAAACTTTCAAACCTACGACATTATTTCATTCGTCAATCTCCACCACCCGTCGTCTTACCTGGCTTCAGAAGATGTTACGAGATAGGAGAGTCGCCAGGAAGAATCACATTCATCTTCAGGAAGTGGAAAGAGCAAACGGCATGGTCCTTCGTTGGGGGAAATGCTGAACATCTGATTTGTCCCAACCAAGATTTCAGCATTTTGTTCGTCACTATTTTCGCTTGTCTGCTGGTGTCTCCGCACTCCAGCTTTCTCCTGTCGGTGTCACGTCCCAGTACACAACCGAGAGGACTACTAACAAACAGTTCACTGCACTAACAGCATTGAACACAGCCTTTCTTTCACTTCGTGAATACTATAAACCAATTGAAAATCATATAATAGTGACCAACTTCTGCAGTGATCGACCTTCTCTGTGGTGAAGCTAAGCCTTTCGTACGTCATCACTGCGCTGGTCGCTATGGCAACGTGAGTATACAATTGGCGATTTGGCAAGTTTGGCTTATCGTATGGAAGCGAGAGATATGCCATTCGAACCAATATCAAATTGCCTTTCTTCTGGACCATACTCGAAAAATCGATGCACTTCCCCTTTAACTCGCAAAATAATTCGCGCGATATATCGCAGTGCATAGACCAGTGTACAAACTTTCGTAACTTCGTCAAACATAAACGCA